CGTACATAAATAATAAAGAGATTGGCATATTACTTTTCAAGAATGTCAGTGAAAAACAGTGGACTTCGAGATCAAGGAAACCACTGAACTGTTTGCAAGATAAGTCAGTTTTTATTTCCTCAGATTTGAGCAACTACAAAATTTGCTTGGATTTAATTTTCTCCTAAAACTAGCAGAGGTGCATGTACTTTTTATTTTGCTACATTAGTCAGGTGCATAAGAATAAACAAAGGTAAAGTTGAACAAGTGCTATGCCAATGATGAAATAAACCAGAATGCATGAGGAAAATTTCAAACTATTTTGATTGCCTGGAATGAAAGGCCATCTTGTGATTCTGAACCTTACTTATCTCCCCTCCCAAGTATGGAGTTCAGAACAGTTGCCTTATCTTAAAAAAAGTCTCAATGACTTACACACAGCTATGCGCATTCTACAAACTAAGCGTGTGGCTACAGTTAATATCTAAGAATTGTCTTCCAGATCCTCCGGAAACGCAGGGAAATGCTTCATTGTTTGCTGTTGCTAAATTTCAAGGTTTGAGCCAACGTCTGTTGTAGAATTGTTTCCTTAAGAGTTATGGGAGTTTGGAGACTGTTTGTAGCTTCAGCAGTCACTGATGTCCCTGACAAAAGGTGTAAAGAGGAAGTTTGTCTGCAACAACTTCTGCCTCGACTGGGGTCTTAAAATAGAAAACCGGAAATGGTTAGAGCTGTTTCTGCAATAAGGCCCACCCATGATGAGAAATGAAACTTTTAGTCCTCAAAAAAATTACTAGTAGAATCATTAGTAGAAATATAGGTGAAGTATTTTGAATGGACACATGATCAGATGCATTTTGCACTGTGATCAGTTCAAATATATTTTTGATGATTAAAATGTTATATGGATTGAAATTTATTAGGCCACATTTTGGTTTTGAAAATCTAATGCAGTAATGACTTCTATATACCCGAGATGGCGAACCTATGGCACGCGTGCCAGAGGTGGCACACAGCGCCCTCTCTGATGGCATGCGAGCCGTCGCCCCAGTTCAGCTCCGCTGCGCATGCGCATGCACCTCCCACCGGCCAGCTGGTCTTCGGGTCTCTGTCATGCATGCATGGAGGGGTGCATGCGATGCATATGAGCGCATGCATGGGGTGCATGTGGGGGCCACATGTGCAGGAGTGGGGTGCATGCGGGAGCTGTGTGTGCATGCAGGGGCCACATGCACATGTGTGGGGCCACGCATGTGCGGGGGTCGTGCATGCATTGCATTTTGGGGGTTCGGGCGTGCTTTGGGCACTCGGTCCAAAAAAGGTTAGCCATCACTGCTATATACAGTAATGCCCAGTGAGGTAAGGATTTAAGCTTCTAATAAAAGTTTAAAGAAAGTGTTGTATTGCTTCACCTTCATGAAAAAAGCAAGGTCTGTTTGTCAGTAGCATATAATTCTGGGGCAGTGGTGCAGTTGAACATTGCCATGTTTTTAGACCTCCTAGCCTCTATCAAGAACGCTTACCCTTCCCATATTTGGCTTTATCCCCCCACTCCTTCTGCATGGAAAATTAACTTTCACCATCAACATAGCACCCACTCAAACTGTTTTTGTCCTTTTTGATCCCCTCCACATGCCTCTGCATGGGGATTGGCACCTCCACACCTCCAGCAGCCAAAGAAAGAGTTCCCATTTTCCTCATTTAGTAAGTTGTTTTCACAAAATAGAGGGAATTAGTTCATTTGGGAAATGCTACTTTTATCCGAAAGAAGACTATTCTAGCCTCAGTCTTATCTCTTTTGGATACAGTGGCAGGGTCAATTAGCTGAGATTAAATGGTTATCTCCATGACCCAGTTAAGCATGCTGTGCAAAGGGCCAGTAATTCTTCCCCTCAATTGCTATCCAATGGCAGGCATCCTAAGTAGAGGCTGCTTAGTGCGGTTTCCAAACTTGGCATCCCCTAAATGGCTTTAAATACAGATAAACCTTGACTTAAACCGTTTGTTTAATGACTGTTCGAAGTTACAATGGCCCTGAAAAAAGTGACTTTTGACCATTTTTCACATTCACAACCGTTCCAGCTTCCCTGTGATCACATGATCAAAATTCGGATACTTGTATTTATGGTGGTGGCATTGTCCCAGGGTCAGGTGATTATCTTGTGCAACCTTCAACAAGCAAAGTCAGTGGGGAAGCCAGATTCAGTTAACAGCTGTGTCACTAACTTAACAACTGCAGTAATTCACTTAATAACTGTGGCAAGAAAGGTTGTGAAATGAGGCAAAATTCACTTAGAAACTGTTTTGCTTAATAATGAAAATTATAGACTCAGTTGTGTTCATATATCGAGGACTACCAATTGTGATCATAAGTCCCACCACCCAAAGTGCTGCAAGCATGCCAGTTGGCAGTTGCAGTCCAATCTAGGTAAGAGAAGTTTGATCGAAGTTTTCAATTAGAAAATTGAACTCATACAGTTTCTTTAGGAAGAATTAGAACAACTGAACCATTTCCCACCATTTCCCAATACACCTCAAAGTACTTTGGGGTGGAAATATTTTGTTTGTATTTTCTAACTGCCTTCCTAGTGTCTGGCAAAATGGTAGGGTTTTTCCCCCTCTAATATCAGTGAACATTGCAACTTATTAATTACATAAAAGTCTCTTGATTTCTTTTTCTGGTGGGAATTAACTCTTACACATGATTTTGTGAACAGCTGGAAAATTGCTTGGTACTCAAGATGAATAATGAGTAAATTAGTTGGGAAGGCTAAAGAAATAAACCATCAGTGGGTGGAAATATCTGGGCACCTTATCCCACATCTTTGTTTGCAAACTTCCAACTTTTTATAGCCACACAATACTTTGTTTTTTTTTTTAATTCACAGTTGTTGTTTTTTTAAAAAAACAGGACAGTGAAAGTACCATAAATGTACAATATGGAAGGAGATAGGGGAGTTGGCTATTGAGTTGCGTACCAGAGCTGTGCTGTCAAAAATGAATGAGCCCAGAACAACATCTAAATGCAATTAATTTTAAATTTAATAAATGCAGTTGCTGAATTTGATTATTATTTTTGTCACATTAAAAATTGTACTTTGATAGCAACATCCAAAGGCGCTTGGAAGGAATACCAATCTTCAGGGAACTGAATGAAATCTTCAGACTGCTACATTCCTATCCTTGTTTTATGCATTCATTATATGAGTCTCTGAATCCTAATGTCTCAAAAATATCCTGAAACATTGATTTTGTTTCATAGGGGAAACATAGTTACTTCTCTAGAAATCTTTAAGCCCGTGTCTTGTCACTTGAATTCTTGTGGGTATGTATACACGCATACTGATATTTAAGAGGAAAGTGTTAGCACATTTTGGAATAACCACTGGTATGAATCCACCCACATTTCAAAAGATTGTTGTGGTGGCACTTCTTATTTTGCAGCTGAGGAGAAATGAATGCCATTATCTTTGCTTGGGCTCACCGGGTTCATTCTCAAGGATGAATGCATGAATTCCACAGTGTAGCCCAGCCTGTATGGTTTGGGGCGGGGTGGACAGTTGATGTGAGGCTATGGAATCGCTAACAAGGAAAAACATTTTACAAGGCTGGCTTTACCATTAAGCTCTGGATCCAAAGATGCTGGATAATCGCCTCAAAACTGAGCCAAATACATTGGTGTGTGGAAAATACGGCAGGGAGACAAAGCCACTGAATCTGTGTGGCTTCTGGCAGGCTTATGGTGCCTTTTTCCAAAGAGCTTCAGGATGAAATTGGTCAGGGAGAGCCTGTGACAAGAAAATTTCCATATCAAGACTCTCAAGGACACTTTGAAGATATTATCAGATATTGCAAGTATGATAATATCTGGCTTGACTCCTGGTTTCAAACATGTTAGGAGATCTCTAGTTTCAGGGCAAGAGGGAAGAGACAACACATTCCACTTTCTAATCCTTTCAAATATTTGCAGGTATTGTCAACACTGGTGAGGCAGGTAAAGCAAGTCTATTTTAAGTATGTTTCTACATGATGGAAATTGGCAGGTTTAAACGGCCTATTGCAGAAATCTGGCTGGGTATATAGATCCTGTAATATAAACGATTAGCTTATTGGTTTTTTTGGCTGTCTTTTCTCATGGGTTTCCTTATGCCCTGTATATCATACCAAGGTAAGTGAGACCTTCTCGATTTATGGCAGTCTCAGAGTGTTGTATTCAGAATCTTGCCATGCTGTATTTTCTACTGCCAGATCTTCACAATGTCATTTCCTATGCTTACCTTGGAAGCCATTTCAACATCATTTTCTGTGCTTGGAACCTAGGATGGGTCTATGCAACTATACTTACAATTACAGGACAAGTATCCCACAGGTATCGGTCTGCTTAGGATCTTAGATAACCCCTGTTTTGTCTGCCAGCATCCTGAATAGCAATGATTTGTGCCACTGATGGCCGGCCTCACAAGATTTAGTGGTATTGTGGAATGTCACATATTCTAGGACAGTCTTCCTCTAATCTGATGCAAATTTATTGACTCTAAATTCCTACTATAGTCATATGATAAAGCTACTAATGGGATTGTAGTTCTTATATAGAGGGTCGCAGATCAGGAAGGCTATTTTAGGCCTGTGAACACTAGTATAAAAAGTGTATTGCACCAAGACAAGTTTTATCCCATGAATATTTTCAGTAAAGGAATGACAATGCTGCAGCCTCTAATATGTTTGTAAACAGAGCTCTGGAGGATTACAGTGCTGGGGAGTTGGGGTGGAAGTGGGCTGTAGCTGTAGGAGGGAAAGGAAATGTTATTTCATGTACTTGCGTGAGTGTAGATGTAGTTCTGAACACTAAATTGTTGTGGGAAGCAAACCATTTAATAACAGTAACAGAGTTGAAAGGGACCTTGGAGGTCATCTAGTCCAACCCCATACTCACTCAGGAGACTTATATTAGGGATTCCATCCTTTGCTCTTCCATGCAACAATCCACAACCTTTGTCTTACATCATCATCTTATTTTGCAGAAGCAGTAGAGGAGCTGAGGCCATGCTGAGTGAAACTGAGTCCTCCGTTCATTTAGCTCTCCAAAAAGCGTGGCTACAGTCAACTCCTTTAAACACTGTCCAGATATGGAAAACCCAGGTTTGTGCTCGGTATTAAAGCGTGAGATTCTAATTAGGAAGAGTGAAATGGTTTCAGTTTTCTTTTGCTATCCCTTCCTTATTGGAAAATGTGTGTGTGTGTGTGTGTGTGTGTGTGTGTGTATGTATAAAAATATATACTTCTTCCCCTACAAAACTACTATAGAGCTTGATTAAGCTCACTTATTATAAAAAAAGGAACATTGTTGTAATTTTCTTTCCTCTTTATGGAATGGCTGATAGTAATTTCTGATGGGTTGTTTAAAAAAAAAAAAAAAAAACCATATCAGGGTGTGTTTTTTACAAATTGAATTGTTTACACATGGCACCCTTCAGGTTTTGTTTGTAAATAGTACCCAGGAAAGTAAGTGTGTATGGAAAATACTGCTAAAAATAAACATGGATATTTTGACTTTATAAAGAAATCCATGTTCTACAATATTGATCTTCTAGTCATAACTGGTGCTGCTTATATCTCAAATGGGAGGTAACAACACTAGTGGTATATAACTAGGATTTTGCCTTTGATGATGGGGTTATGTAAATGTAAATTTACATAAGTTTGTATGAAACTAAAAAATTAGAAATCATTGAACCTGTTGATTTCCTTTTTTGCTTTAAGAGGTTGAGTCAGACTTTCTCCGAAGTGTGCATGCCCTTCTTCGGGAACTTGATGGCCATCATCCAGCCTTCCAAAGTGAGAGAGGTAAGATCACTACAGATAACCAGCCTTCCAAGAGATTGGTTGTGATGTGTTTACACCTCCATTCTGTCAAGCAGGGGAAATCAGAAAGTCCAGGCAGTTCAAATGAATAGAAAGGACTATAGCAAGATTAAGCTTTCTTCAAGAATCTGAACCATTAACTAATAAAGGAAATTAGTGGTAGATAAGAGCCAATGGAATTCAAGGTGGGCTGGACCTTGTGGCATGAAGGGACTCAAGACTGAAGACACATTTGACCCCTCCCTCAGGCTCATCTTGGTCATCTCCTAAATGTTCTGCCTACATAATCTGGAGGAAGGAAAGCTTGACTGTCCATGCTTGGATGTCATTCACTTGGAATTTGTTTCTGGATACCTTACTTGGTGAGATACTTCTCAAAAGATGAAGTAGTTGATCTGATCCTAGAGAACAAATCTCTGCCCATTAAATTCTTCCTTATTACCAGTAAAACTACAGAGAAGAAGCAATCGCTCATTGTCAAAGAGCATGTTTTGTAAAGATGAAATTTCCATCTGTTATCTCTAGTTGAGATATTTCAGGCAGCAAGATAGCAGAAAGAGCTTTGCCTAAAGAAAAGAAACTGCCAAATGGCTGAGTAGAACATTGATCAAATCCATTGTGTGGATTCCCAATTGGTTTGGCTTAATGTATGCTAGGAATAATTAACCCACATAGGCTAGGTTCACACATGCTTAAGTGGATTACAAGCAGGCCATTTAGGTTGAAAGTTTAACCTAAACACAGAGTTTAGGTTAACACTCTGCTTATCACCCACCCAGAAATGAAAGTTAACATAGAGTTAACCCACTCTGCTTATTACACACCCAGAAATGAAAGTGTAGAGCAAAACCAGGGCTTCTCTGGGAAGTAATTCACTTTATTATTTTCATCCCATAGCTAAATAGGGCAGAAAAAAGACACGAGGATAGCTAAGTTTCTGTCCACTATGCTTCTGATTCCAATTGGACCTTGAGGAATTTCTTCCCAGGTTTTTCAGAGGAAAATTAAAAAAGCAGTAAGTGACAATCTCGCTACTTTCTATGAAGATAGCCACTCTTCATCTTTGGACATCAGTTCACAGTAGTGATATATTTGCCTGGATTAGTTATGTTGTGCGAAGATAATTGCAACAAAACATTAAAGACAGATTATGGTGCGTTCCAACCAGTGTCAATATCCATTTCTCTTAGCTTTTTTTACCCTGTGCTATCTGGCCATTTGTATGACAGGATTAGTGCTATTCCATAACATTACAAATGCTGTATTGATAACCTGAAGTACTTAAGTAAGTTAAATTAAAGCAATGTAATGTCCCAAAGGTACTTTTCAAAAGGCAACTGGACTTTCATGGGTTTTTTTTTTTTAATATTTCACTTCTCATCCAAGAAGCTTCTTCAGTTTTCCAGTTCTTAGATGAGAAGTGAAACAGTTTCAAGGAAAAAACCAAGCAAGTCTAGTTGCCTTTTAAAAAGCACCGTTGGGACAACCATGACCTGAATGATTGAGAATCTTTATAGACAAAAGGCAATGTAAGTGTTTTTGTTCAGATTTTTTTAATGCAATACTGCAGCTTTTAAAAAACATCTTAGAAGCAAATTCCTATCCTAGGTGGAAATGCTTAGCGCATTGTAAGCCGCCCTGAGTCTCCAGAGAAGGGTGGCATATAAATCAATTTTTTTAAAAAAAAATGAATATCTCAGTTTTAAGGACTGGAAAGAATTATTAATATGTTTAATTGTACTTAAAACTAATGATCACATGGATGAGCCCTTACCTGTAAAACATACTGAAAGACACCTATATCCTTTTCCTGAACATATTGCAATCCAGCCTTCCCTCTCCTGTGAATTCCATTCTTTTATATACTATATCCTTGGATTAATAAATGAAACATTAATAGATACTTTGATTTTGATCTCACAGGGATGCTGAGATGGACCTTGCACAAGAAAATTGACCGGAATCCCCAAAATGGAATCCTCTGGATTAAAATTTTGGTGAAAGAACTTGAAAGAGTAAGAAATGAGAACTACCATGATTAATAGTAAATGCGTTGGATTAGGACCATGGAGATTTAGGTCAAGTCCACCTTCATCCATGGAAACTCAGTGGGTGGCTTTGTTACTCAGACGCTCACTTGTAATCCAACCTGCTTTAGCAGGTGGTGGTGGTCTTTTTAATAAAATAAATTGAGATACCAAAGTAAAACCCCTTAATCTCCTGAAGAAAAAGTGGAATGTAAATCTAACAATCAAGTAAATAGGCAAGTGACCTTACTTATGTTTGGGGGTAGTCTTATTAACCCAGACAGACTTCCTCATGAATATAAAACTATGTTTTATGGTCAATCCTTACTCTTCTAGATTTAGAAAGAATGAAATTGTCTTTCTCTCAGGGACTTGGGCATTGTAGCCTGAGGGAGATGTTAGCAATGCTGTCTTCTCTTGCAGCTGACACATAGGGATATTTTCTCTGGGATCCTTGGTGCTCTCTGAGCTTGGTGGTTTTCTTGTGCAGACATTTCATTAGCAAACTAGGTTACATCATCAGTGCAACTTATTGTCAGCTAGAGCAGGAGGGAACTACTCTTGGGCTGGGAACACATGCAGCCACTCCCCTAAAATTGCACTGCTGAAATTCAGTTACAAATTGTGAAAATTCATCCCACAGAATGTTTTTCAATCCATTATTCTAAAAAGAAATGACAAAAGAGTCTATCCTAAATCAGCCAGAGCAAATTTGTCTTATTTTTCAAAATCTCACAATTAATAATTAAGGAGACAAACATTATGGTCCAACCTTTTTGTGGGTGCAAAGTTCCTAAAAATATTAAGTAGCCCTTGGCTAAAGGAAAGGAAAGGAAAGGAAAGGAAAGGAAAGGAAAGGAAAGGAGGATGTCTGTATTGCTCTAGATTAAAGTCTCACCTATTCCTTTCTTGAAAGAAGCAAAAAAGACATGCTGCTTACCAAATCCCAGTGTAAATGCAATTTTGCACTCTTTCAAGATCAAGAATTCATAGCATCAACATCTAATTTGCAGGTCCATTTTCTTTCAGATTGCTTTATCTCAGTTTATCACACCTACCATGACCTCTGCAGGGTGGACCGGAGATTGATGTTCCTTAATTTGTCTCTTCTGTCTTGCTGCTTTTGATCCTTTTCATTCCTAGCCCTTAATTTTGAGAGTAAAGGATCATCTGGCTAGAGACAGATAATATCAATATTGTTTCCCCAAAATTCTGGCAGGCTCATTTGAATATACATTCATTTCACAGTTCCTACTGAAAGTAATTCTTCAGTGTTTTTGTAAAAATTCAAAATGTAATGTCAGTGGAAAAAAATACATTACGAGCAACTCTGTCCTTGGCATAGTAGTATCATTTTAAAAAAAACCTTTGTTTGCAGTAAATCCTTTCATGTGTTTTATGATTAAAAAAAACTGTTGTTTTAGTTTTCTAGGACCAGTTTTCTCCAACACTATTCAACTTAGCTTATTCTCCTTTGGATATGGGATATATGCCTAGCTCCTTCAAACTTCCCTTTAAATTACACATTCCTATAGCTTTCAACCCTTCACCACATTTTTTTCAGAATGTATCAGAATAAGGAAGAGACTAGTTATTAAACAGCAAAGCACAAGGGGTGGGGGTGGGTCTCAGATTTTCTTACAATGGTTGTTATGTATTCTTTCAGAAGCATTGCTGCTGCAGTGCTCTGGCTGGCTGTCTATCTCTCTTCTGTGATTTTATTTTGGAAAACTTTGCCTCTCTTCTTTAGAAAACAATTCAATATTTAGAATATATTTAACATAACTGTCTGCTTTTTCCAGGCAGAAAGATGTAATCATCAGAAGCACATCATCCCTCTGGTTCACACACTGATGTATACACTGATCAAAGTAAGAATCTTATTTCTTCAGGACTGGGATTAATAGGTTACAATGTGCTGATACCAGGCATTAATTTTGGCACTGGAACTCCATACCCATTTCAAAGGGAGGAACTTGTAAAGAATAGTTTGCTACGTATATGCTATGCTCATTATTAAGAAGAGAACTAGTCTGGTGATGTTAAGGCATCCGGCTAGAAACTGGGAGACTGTGAGTTCTAGTCCTGTGCAGCAGAAATTCTTACACCTCTGAGAATTAAATGTGTTCCTTCTGAAGGATCGGTGACTTTAGGCCACTCACTGTCAGCCCTAGGAAGAAGCCCTAGGAAGAAAACCACTCTCAAAAAACCTTGCCAAGTAAACTGCAGGAACCTGTCCAGGCAGTCTCCAGTGGTCAACACTGATTCAAAGGCACATTTGTGTGCATTCACACAGATTAAGAATGCAGGAACTCTGATTTTAGGACAGGAAGCAGAGCTTTGTAAAGATGCAATGGATACTTTAATAATCTGCTTGCCTTGACAGATACAGATAATAGGATGCAGTGTATTTATGAATGGCCATGGTGGTCCCTACAGTATTATTGTATACTGCATTATTTACTATATCAATGGGAAAAGAAAACAAACAATAACATTGATTCTGTGATGGTATTTAGATTATCAGTAATGTAGACTACTTATAAATGGGGATTCTCTAATGCTACATGTTTAACATAACTAGTACCTGCAGCAGAAATTCTTACACCTCAGGATTAAATGTGTTTCAAATGAAGAAACTTCTACTTGGACATTTACTGGGTTTTTTTTCCAGGTGCCTTGTTTATCTGATGACCTATATGAGAGGGTCTATGATTTCTTCAAGAAGTTGCTTACTTTGCCCAAGCCTTTCTGCACTATTGGTTTGGATTATGCTTGCCAATTGAAACTAGAACGGGCAATCCCAGGTAGGCAAGCTTTATTTATTTTAGTTTGTTGTATTTGTTATGATACAGTGGCTATTTATTAATAAATACGTAAAATTAGCATCAAATGAAAAGAGATCAGAAAGTATGGGAGAATTATGATGGACTATTCTTTATACATGCAGTGATGCATGGACCTCTCTCCAAGAATGCTTCATGAATAATGCAGGAAGATTGCACAATAAAAGGCTTATCAGTAAGCATACTTCATGCTTTTGTTAAGACTGCTTTGAAATTATTCACTGTTCAAGCTGTCCAGTAGCTTATGATGGCGGTTTTGTGCTTTATTTCCTTAGCCAATTGATTATTAGAATCAAAATCAGAGCATGGACATTTGCATTTTGATTGCTATATATGTATTTATTCACTAGGGATATTATACCAAAGGAAAGTCTCTGCAGAACAAAGCCTCAAAAATGACTCATTCCCTTATCAGGATAAGTAAGTATGCTGCTTCCCATGTCCCTTTTGTGCCTATATCTATCCTAAAACTAGGACTTTGTATCATATGATGGGGCAGTGAATTCAAAAGTATATGAAAACTCTGGGTGCTCTATGGTCATCTGGCTGAAAGAAGTTTTCCAAGTTGTTTATTACCAGGTTTTTAAGTATGCTTGTATGTGTGTGATGTTACACGTTTGTTGCAGAAGAACATCAGTCTGACTCCTTAAGATACCTTTTGTTTGATTTCTATTTAAGTTAAGCTTTGTTAAATTGTAAATAGATTTATGATTTTTCTTTCAGGGTTCTTTTTCCTTATGGTGCTATCTAGTTGAAGAGGTTGTTGTTATTAAATTTGTGACAAAACATCCACATGAAAATAAATTGTTAGAACAAAAGATCAAGTGTCTACACCAAGATGAAATCATTAATACTGAAGGGACATTAACGTTACTGAATCTGGAATATTGTGGATTTAATCATAGAAATGATTGTTTACAGAACCCTTTAGTTTCCCATGCAGACTCCTGGATTCACTTTCATATCTACAGCTAATAAGTTCTGCTTATGTAATATATACTAACTCTTCATTCCCTTAGGATTTTCATGTTTGTTGATCCAGATTTGCTCTCTGGGGCTGTATGCCAAGCACTAGTTGATGAAATCAAGGCTGCTCAAATGTTCCAGTGTGCCAGGTCCTGCATGATCTATGTGATAGCACATGCCTTCCAAACAGGCCTGAAGGAACATTGTGATATGAGGAACTTGCAGGAAGCATTTCAGGTATTGTGAAGAAACAAGGGAGTTTTGGTTTTGCAGATTAATGATTGATTGAATGAATGAAGTAACTAAAATTCCTTAAAATAACATTTTTACTCTAAATAGTATAGATGGAGATTTTTAACTTCTTTCTCAGAGTGCTGCATCAACTTCGGCTTTCATTTTCAGTTCATAAATAGATACATGTGTACTGCTCAAGGTTGCCGAAGAAAGACACAGAATTCCCTTACCTTCTTGGATATCAACTCACATAATTTTCAACAGGCTGTGAACTGTTGAAGTTGAAGTCTAACATACCTGGAAGCTTTCTGCTTTTTAAAGAAAAAGAAATGTATTGGAATACATAGAAACAAAAGACCACATTTTTTTTCTTAAGGTTAAAAAAAAGCTGTACTGAGAAATAGTAATAAAGCCAGTAATTCTACAGATAAAAGACTAATTCTTGGAAATGTGCTTGTTTTCCTGCAAACATTTAGCCCAAGGAGAAGCTTTGTTGGTATTTAGCCACCAATCTGATAAATATACTGTGCTCTAGATTTCTTGAAGCTAAACTTCACAGTAATAAAAATGAGCTGCATTGCAAAAGGTTTAGGTTGTCTGCTTCCCTGGGAACATTTTGTGAAATAAGCATTTTTATAACTTCAAACGAACTATTTTCTGTAAGATTTTATAATAACTGAGAAAGACATAGAATTAGATGAGGAATAGCTTACTGAGAGTTTGATATCACATTGCATAAAATGTAGCAGGTTTTTCATCATTGTGTACAGGGCTAAAATATGGATTTTCTACATTAAAAATGTTCCCAACTTTTGTTGAACAAGCCTCGATAAATAATAGGGCAATCCTAAATATAGTTAAGGAAAATAATGAAACTTTAAATCCATTACACCTTCCAAAGCCCTGTTGACTTAAAGTGGAGATTGTCCTTGATAAGACTTTAGTTTTTCTTAATCCATCACCTCCCTCCACATTTGGGGAAAATATTGCTTTCTATTGCATGTGAAATAGAAAAGTCCAGTGCTGTCCCCATTTCCCGAGATCATATGGGTTTTGAATTCATATATAACTTTCGTCATCCATTGGTTTTTGTGGGGCATATAAACTAGCACCTTCTGGGTTATTTGGGGCAATATGAAACTCCATGATAATCACAAAATGTCATGTGTGTAATGATACTATCACACAAATGCAGTAATTATGTACTTGCATCACAATAGTTGCACGACTCATGCAGTGGAGGTTTCAAATTTTTTTACTACCGGTTCTGTGGGCATGGCTTGGTGGGTGTGGTATGGCTTGGTGGGCGTGGTGTGGGCGTGGCAGGGGAAGGATACTGTAACATCTCTATTCCCACCCCACTCCAGGGGAAGGTTACTGCAAAATCCCCATTTCCTCCTGATCAGCTGGGACTTGGGAGGCAGAGAATAGATGGGGGCGGGGCCAGTCAGAATTTTTACTACTGGTTCTCCAAACTACTCAAAATTTCCGCTACCGATTCTCCCAAACTGGTCAGAACCTGCTGAAACCCACCTCTGGACTCATGGTATTTCCATGATGTCATCACTCATAAGCCATTAGTTGTCTGCTCTGCATATACCCATATACAACATGTTCTCACTAGGATAATTCATTTGGCAATTGGGAAAAGCTCTCTGCCCCATCCTAAGCTCCTCAACCAACAAATCATTTTTATTTTTTTTTACAAATCAAAATATTCCTGTAATTTGGAATCATGGAGTTTTAAGTGCCATCTGAGTCTCACTACTCTATGCCGTGATCTGAATTAAAGTAGCCCTGAAAAATGATTCTCCATCCTCTGCTTAAACACATCCAAAGAGGGACATTGGTTTATCTGTTGAACTGATTTTTCTGTTAGGAAATATTTTATAGCATTCAGTTAGGAATCTAACTTTCTCTAAGTTATATCCATATGTATATGTCTTGTGCATGACATGTGGAACAATGTGGAACAATGAATAAGGATTCTTTATCCATTGTCTATGTAATTTCCTTTCAGGTATTTGAAGAATGCTATTTATGGTCCTCAAGCTTTTTTTTCCAACACTAAACATATTTACCTTTATCCATAGGATTTAGTTTCTAGTTCTTTGATCATCCTAATTACCCTCCTCTGAACTTATTCTAGTTTCTCTGAATCCTTCTTAAAGTGTGATGCTCAGAATTGGATGATAAGTGGGAAGGGATCTGACTAAAGCAGACAAAATTAGAATCATTATTTTCCATGATTTGTAAATTATATTACTAGGGGTGCAGTGTAAAATTTCATTTGCCATTTTGGCAACTACATCACATTGCTAATTCATATTTAACTTCCAATCCACTGTGATTTAATCTCTTTCACAAATACCATTTATGTTTCTAGGACAATTTACTTTTATGGGATTATCCTTGCTAAACTACAAAACTAATATTATTATGAAATGTTGATCATAACAAAATTCCATTTAGAATTGTACATTTTAATGACATTGAAAACTGATTGGTTATATTATTAATTCATCTTAAAATCTCTTAAATGCTTGTATTCAGTGATGTAATCATCAAAAATGGACCTGTCCCTTTAAGCCCCCTTCAGATTTTGTTTGAAATAGGCTTCTGGATTTAATGCCAATAAGAACTATGAAACTTCAACATTACTTTGGAGTAAGCTGTATTAAAATTAGTGGAAATTAGTTTTAAAAAAATGTGGCTAGGATTTGCATTTCAGCAAGCCATAATTAAAACAGGGAGCTGTTTATTTTCCACAACTGTTTGTTTAAACAACTGTTTAAACAAAACTGAGTATTATGACAGTAAAGTAGATCTATCTAAGCATCTGCTTATTTTATGATTGAATAAAGCTGAATTCATTTTGCAAGCCACAAATTTCATTCTAAAAGTTCGTAAAACCTAATTGCATCTTTGTCCTTTGATAGACAAAGCCCTTAGATGAGATTGAACACTGTTTCCAGGAAGTGATGGCAGCAACTGAACATGCAGTTGAAGAAATGAATGTGGAATATAGTCAATATGTTGAGGCCCTTGAGAACATCTACAGCACATTGCTGAGTTCTTCAGACAGAAGTAAGTGCAGCATTTTGGAACTTGGAAGAAGGTGGTCTTGGTCGGTGGGATGTTTTTGGGAAGGAGATTTGGGAACTTGTGATACCCTCTTCTGTATGTTTTATTTTTCCCAGTACGTGCAGGAGGATGAATATATCCAATCTGTTTTATATGGAGCTTTACAATCCTTGGCAGCAAAAAGCAACAATGTCAAAATCAGTCCCATAAGAACTGTATTAGTTTGGGTTTTTTTTAAGAAAAAGAAAGCTAAACCAGCAAAATGCCAATAACAACTGGGTACAATTGGTAATAAGGGGCAATTGAGTATGTATTCCTATCCCCAAGTCTGAGTTTCTCTCTCCCTCTATAAAAATGTTTCTACTTGTAAAGTAGCTACTCATCTAACATTTAATCAGATTTTTCTGTGTGATTTTTCTACGTGAACATTATTTTAGAGAACTAAATGTGAGATTCCATAACCCAATGCAGAGCAAACACCAGCCGTTCCAACATTCTCACAGATTAATTTTCACATCTCTGATCTCTTTCTAAGACTTTATCAATGTTTCTTGACTGGCCAAAACTATAACCTGAAGTGATATATAAACAGCAAGATTTTTGTATTTTACAGGGGTGAAGTCTTCAGTAGACAAAAGTTCAGACATCCCTTTGCCCAACCCTAAAATCAGTTTCCACCTATGGACTGATGAAGACCAACTTTGTAAGTATCTGAACTCTGACATGGGTTATGGAACTATAGCTAACTGGCAGAAAAATAAAACTATTTGTTGTGGAGTCCCCGCTAATCTCTTGTAGTGTCTTGTAGAGAAGCAGGCCAACTTCACTGCTTAAGAAGGCTTCTTAAGTGCTTAAGGTGATACATGAACAAGGAAGCTCCGGATCGGGAAATTATTTAATTGAAGGAAGCTTTGGATGCAAATGTCTATGGAGATTCTCAGTCATCCAGGTCATGGTTTTCCCAAAGGTGTTTTTTCAAAGACAACTGGACTTTGTTTTTCCTTAAAGATGTTTTGCTTCTCATCCAAGAAGCTTCTGAGTCAGGACTGAAGAAGTTTCTTGGCTGAGAAGCAAAATGACTTCAAGGAAAAAACAAAGCCCAGTTGCCTTTTGAAAAAGTACCTTTGGAAGTTTGGATGCAAATATGTTATGTAACAGGAAAAGAAACAATAAACAAACAAATAAATAAATGGCAGATAGCATTGCATGTCAATAGTTGGGGCACAAAGAAAGTTTTTCTAAGACTGGATGGTGCAGCATGAAAAGGACTGATAGATTTCTGAATGATTTCACTTCCCCCATGAGTCAGAACAGTGGTTTGGATGTCATGTGAATGCTATTGAGGAAATATATTGTATGAAAATGAATAAATAGGCTTCATTACCCTATAAAAGCAATGCATTAAAAATAGCAGCATTTTAAGTGCACATTTGAAATGATTGTGAGGGATAGTTCGATTCAGCGTGTTTTATTCTGCTATATATTTTTTGTGTGCTCTTTATCACTTAATGGTGTTACAACATGCAATCATTTGTATAAAAACAGCTCATCATTTTTTTAAAAGAATGAATACATATTTGAAAACCTGCCACATTTTTAAAAGAGCAAAATTAAAAAATAAAAGCAAACCTTTTAAACCTATGACTTAATTACAACTAAACGTTTATGTTAAATAGCTGTTTTTATTTGGAATACAATCACTTCTCATCAGGATTAGTACCTCATTTTCATTATCTTTACCATGGCTGTTCTTCATCCTTCAGATATTGTTTACTGCAAAACCCCAAAAGATAGTATTTTTCCCCCCAGCAGAACATTTTTAAATTTTAAGCTCTAATCTGCCCAAGGAATAAGATATTAAGGCTTTTTGTGGCAGCATGCCCATTACTTTATGTTCAGCTATGTTACCTTCGTTAACCAAAGCTTCAGCCTAAGAATGTGAATAAAATATTTATTTAGCACAAGAAGCCATTTTGTACTGGCTTCAAGCTTGTGAGGGTTTTCCCAAAATCTCACACTATTTCCTCATTTTAGGGAAAGAGCTGGTGCAGTTTCTCCGTTCACCGAGTCAGTGTGGTGAACAGGATTCTCTCAGTCCAGGACTGGATGGCTTCGAATTTCAAGATCTGGTGCCAGACTATGACTGCTGTGAACAGATACGTTTCTCTGTGCTCTCCAATGACAGTGGGATTGAGCGGGACTTGCCCCTTCTGGCTGATGACATGCCAACTTCCTGCAATGCTGAGACTGAGCATTCTCGACTCCAGAGAAAGGGTTGCATGAAGAAAAAATATGCAGATAGCATAGCTTTGCTTCAAAGTAATTGCAGTGGCCAAGGTGCAAAGCAGACTGGGAAACTGCACCGGAAATCTGGTGGTAGTACCATAGAACCAATAGTTAAAGTGAAAAAACTGCATACAGCTCGTATCTTGGTGCTGGGTGATGACAGGGTACTGGGACGCCTTGCCCAAGCCTATCACTCTTTGAGGTTAGTATTGTATAATGCAGATACTTTCTCCTCAGGCGACAACCAGGTAGCAACTAGGGTACTATGTAAACCAGAGGTGGGGAACCACGACCCCTTTATGACTTGGGGACTTCAACTACCAGAATTCCTGAGCCAGCATGCATGAAGTCCTCAAGTCATAACAGGGCCATAGTTTCCCACCCCCTGATGTAGACCATATTCCCATAGCACATCAGATATAATTTAACAGTAACCATAATTAAAACACTCATCTAGAGCACTTGCTACCAGTGAGATGGCAAACAATGATTGCCTTTCTTTTTTATTATTATTCCATCTTTCTATGGCTGCTAGCTGCTTCACAAAAGGAAATTAGTACTATTTCCTAATTACTTAGCTGCTTTTTTTTTTCAAACTGATGTATTTTTTTTCGTTAGCATATCTAAACTGAAAGGGTAGGAAGTGGGCTTTTTCTACAACTTTAGTGACATACATACATACATAAATGAGTCATCCCGGCAAGCTTTAAATTATGAAGTACAATAACAACAATAATAAAGTGTTTTAGGTACTGGCCTAGAAACCAGGAGACAGTGAGTTCTAGTCCTGCCTTAGGCAAAGAAACCAGCTGGGTGACTTTGGGCCAGTCACCCTCTCTCAGCCCAGCCCACCTCACAGGATTGTTGTTGAGAGGAAAATAGGTGGAAGGAAAAGCATTTGGTATGTTCACCACCTTGTGTTACTTACAAAGTAATAAAGGCAAGAAGGGGAAAAAAACAAATAAATAAACCCATTTTGTATGAAATAGATGCCTTTTATTGAACAGAATATATGCCCTTCAACTCCAGCAGAAGAAAAATGTGATGTGGCAACAATTAAGTCACATTGCCCATGTTTTGTTCTGAAAGATTAATGCTGGATGTTAATGTAACTTGTTACAATTCATTATAATTCATCCTAACAAGTCTGATGACATGATATTCCTCAAGTGATTAGTACTTAAAGGGAGAAAGTTTACAATGGAATTGCAGTATCTCATTGTAGTGGATGAAACCTTTTAACATGCTGTAGAATGTAGTTTGCAGTGGTGAAATCCAGCCAGATCTAGCAGGCTCACGTGAACCGGTAGAGAGAGGCTCCGCCCACTCTCTGGGATGTCATTACGTCCCGTTTTTGACCCTCTGCGCATGCTCAGAAGAGGCGCACGCTCTCCCATTCCCGAACCCATAGTGAAGGTAAGTGGATTTCACCGCTGGTAGTTTATGTTGATCAATTGTAATATTATGCTAGCAGTAGAAGGTCATATGAGGCTTGGCAACATCAGTGCTTGGGATTCCCCCCCTCCCCATTATTCTATAAAAAGGTGTAGGGAAGACACAAGAAAGAGGCAGCCACAAATTGAGAAATAATGAAAGAATTTGCTTTTTTAAGAGAATGATATAGATTCTTATACACCAACTTCATAACTCAAAAGGATAAAGTCAAATCTCCTTTTGGTTAATGCTCAACACTTGATAACTTAATAGACATGTTGTTTTGCCCTTTTCCAAGATACTGTCTTCCTGTCTTCCCAGTTTAGTCAACCTGATCTCTTTTGATGGTGTCCAATTCAAATATTTAGTCTGACCCTGCTTAGCTATTTCAAATACCTAAGTACTGTCAGAGTACTATAGCACATTAATACATCTTCCAATATTTTCTCAATCAGAACACACATACACACACACACACAAAGATATAATGTAGCTCAGGATTGAATTGAGGAGCCTTTGGTGCTCTATGAGCTTGGTTGTTTGATTGCTAACATTTCATTACCTGACTAGGTAACATGGATCAGTGGTAGTGACTATGGGGTTTGCCATTTATATAACCACCACCTTCATGTATCTCAGTGTTCAACTGTAGAGTCCTTAGTGCTGTCCAAGTTTGGTTGTTTGAATGCAGACAAACTTTTATATATAACTAGGGAGAAAAACCTCACACTCATTAACACTGATTGTGTTCTATAGTTGGGTAACAAGCAGGCAAAAATGATTACATCAGTCTATGCCATTTATACCAGCTCAGAGTGTGCGTGCCAAGGACTCCAGAGAGGGAGAGATCAGTTGTTACTGAAGAAGCCTCATCAGACCTTATTTTTCCCCATGTCCAGGAAGCGAGAAAGCAGGCGGGTGTTTCTTACACAAAGGCTAAAAGTACATTTTTATTATGTGCCTCTTGTTGAAGAGCAACCAACCTCTTCCCTTATTGAGGTGAGTGACTTACAACTAGTAGTAGAAGAGGAGGAAGTCCTCCATTTTTTGCAATTGGATCTTGTCTGTGCAGTATTGAGTAAGACTTGCTTCTCTTTTGTCTGCCAAAACAGGGAGAGCCATGTGAGTTGGCTGCCTATCTTGGAAGAGCTGATCCTTGGTACGAGAGCAATATTAATTCCCTCTGTTACACGATTCCAAAGCTGGCCACCATGGTAGGAGAAAAGCCCTTCCTTCTGTATGTATAGAAATAGCTATGAGATTTTCTGACCCATTCTTGAGATAGCAGAAGAAACCAGCAATATTTCCATCATGAAGTTGCTTCTCATCATCCCTTAATCAGAATCCTCAGCTTGTAATAGCCAACTTGACATGAGGGTTACATATAATCCTGCTTTCATCCTATGTGGGTGAAAGGCCACTTTCTATGTTTGGGTCATAGCCCTACCATTAACTGTCTTTTATATTTCATAAAGGTGTGGTTGTCATTGTTAGTGTAATAATGGGGGCAGGGGAAGAAAGAAATATCTTACTTTCTAGTATTTTAGATGAGAGAGTCTATGTGATTCGGTTAAAGAATATTTTTCTTAATCATACTCCTGTATTTACCAGCATGTTGCTAGAAATAGCAGATATAAATGGCATAGACTGATGTAATCATTTTTGATTCCATGCAGCTTTCCTCACCAAGCAAATCCACACTCTCTGAATTGTTCATTATTGATGTGATTGCATATTATGTGCGTCTGGGCTTACAGCCAGTTTTCTTCCAAGTCTATGCAGTGAAGGTCAGTAGTCTTGAAGGATGAAAATACTTATTATCAGTTTAAATAAAAATGATTACATTTCACCCAGTGAGGAAGGATTCTCTTGTCTTTCAGATTTTTTTTAATAATACTGCCTTGGACCCAGTTGAGGATATTTTCCTCACTGAGTTAAGAATAAACTTTGAAGAGTTCAACACTTCCAAAGGTCAGTATTTCATTTCAAGATTTACTACCTATTGCACTTTCAGTTTTATTCTCAAAACCTGTAATCGGTCTTCCTCGACCAATATGTTAAAATACAATGTTCCTTTCATCTCAATCTAATGATCATGCTGTAGTCTTTTATATTTAAAAATAACCTCAGACAAGCTGAGCCTATTTAATGTTTTCTCCTCTGATTACATCTGAAGCACAACTCTTTGGCCTTTTTCCTCTCCTCAACAATATTTAGATAAAAGTTCACATGCCATTCCCCCGCCTCTCACATCAATTGCCCATTAAATTCAGAACAAACAAACAAAAATTTCAAGTAGAAGAGCACTGTGTGTCTCAATATTTAGTCTGTAAACTAATGGAAAATTATCACTGTCTTAATTGCTTGAAAGCTATGTCTTTTTCTACTAGACAATTTACCAACAAAGAAGAAACCAACAATAGAATTTCCTGGTGCAGAACTTACATTATTATATAAAAAGGTAAGACACGTTATAAATAGTAGATAAAAGTGGGAAACTATATAGACTTTTAGGAATTGGAATTAAGTTCCAACAAAATATTTCACTTACATCAATAACTTGAGTTCAGAATAGGAACTATTGAAAGTTATGTTTCAAATTTATGCAAAAAAGCAAGGTGACCTAATTATTTTATCCCACATTAGACTTAGAAGTTAGCTGAATGTAAATGCTTTATGTTCTTCAAAGACAACCATTAAGAAGAAAGCAGAGTAATTTCACTTATAGACTAGGACATTATAAAGAACTGAGAGAGATATCAAAATAGGGTTATGCAAAGCATTCAGAAGAGACGGTTCACAAAGCACATTAGTACAAACGAAACCTTTTTAAAATATTAAAAGCGCTGCATTTTTCACAAACCTTTGAAAGCTGCTCGATTTTCTGCTGGTATGTGTTCATGTGGAAGCAACACTTCTGAGATCTCCAACAAAGTGAAGTGGCCATAGTTGCGTGTGTAGCCAGACACAGTTTTTCAAACAGTCAGCTGGAGCTTGTGAAGAATGCTACTGCTTTAATGCTTTGAAGAGAAGTGTTCTTTTGGTGCTGATGTGCTTTGTGAAGCACTGCTTTCAAACATTCTGCCCAGACTTATTCAGCACGAGAGGAAAAGTGTCTATCTATTTGATGGCTGAATAGCTCATTCATTTTATAAAGCATAAATGCAATTACCAGAATAAAACATTTCTCTTTAGGTTTTCCTGAGTAACCGTGAAAAGGATGAGATACTTTCTTTGCGATCTACAGGCCTTGTTATAAAAACCATTCCTTCACATGAATTTGAAGGTAAAAGTTATGGTGGGTCAAGATGAGAATATATGTGGTTTTATTTGTTGGTAGGGTCTCTAGATGAGAGTTTTGCAATTTTGAAGAAATGCAAAACATGTATTTTTCCCATTATTTCCATATTTGCTTGATTGTTTAGAAGTATAATATGTCTCCAAGGAATAGGGCAGAAAAAAACTATCTTGATCAGAGGAATAAACTGTTTACATATTATCATGGAAGGGGATGATGGAACCATCATATTCATTAAAAAAATAAAAAATGGATAGAATTGGGTTGATTATGATATAGAGTAAAGATGTATCATCCAGTAATAAATATGTGTCAATGAAGTCCATGCAAAACAGGCAGGAAAAATATTTCTATAGAATGTTTCCTATACATTTTTATTTTTTAAAAATCCAGTGTGTGTCTTCCTTACTGAATATAAAAACTCACATCTATAAAAACTGTTCAAAGATGGATTATCTTCTTACTGTGCTTCTCTGTTGCATTTGTAATGAAATTTATGATCACTTTCTTCGTAGAATTATAGATAATAAACTGGACTATATAAACACATTTTACACTTAGCCTCAAGTCCCAAAGGCAATGTTGCATCACTTTATAATTTTATTTACTGAATTGATTTTTTTTCTTTCTGCTAGTTTTATCTTACTACTGTATGACCAATCTGTATCATTTATTTTTTTAAATGTTTTTAATTTACTAGTACTGTATACTGTCCAGAGAATTCTAACTTTTGAATGATATAACAGTAGAACCAAATAAACTAAATTAGGATGTGGCTATTACTACTGCTAGACATGTAAAGGGAAGGTCAGGACAAGGTCAGTACTCATTAGTTCATTTTTTTCCATTGTAGATCTAGTGTGCTTGACTGTAAATATTGATGAAGTCGTAAAAACCTCAGGACGATCATATTCTGTAAGTGGTACTATCATTTTTCTGGAATAGAAGCCATAATGCTAATCAGTACTAGGGGAAACGTTAGGGGAGAGGTTTCTGGATTAGTTTGGCAAATCAGGAATTTGCAAAACTATTTCAAATGCAGTCTATTGCTAAATTGCTGTTTGTATTTGCTTGCTATAGGAAATGTTGCTTGATCAGAGTTTATAGAATTTCAGTTGGTTTGGTAATTTGCGCTTTTATTTTTTTCCTTTTTTCACTGTTCCTAAAAAAATTAAACTTTCTCTTCAACTGGTTAAAGTTTATGCCTATTAAATGTTTTATATCGATAAAATTATTAAAGCAAAAAAGCCCTCTGCTCCCTTCTCACAATCGTCTATAGAATATATAGCAGATAATTTAAATATTATAGTATAAAATGTAGTTCTTCCAAGAGTATTCAATGTATGGCTTTTGATTTTAAAAATCTTACCAGGTTATATGTTATTATTCAGAGAATATAACAAGCTGTTTTGCTGAAGCTCTTATATAGGCAATGATGAAAAAGAAAAATTAGCTAACAACTGTTTATTTAATATATTATTGAGTGATATAAAGTAAATAGTTTCATTAAACCTTTAACAAGGACTATTTCCAGTCAAACCTCAGAATATCTTGTATTTTCTGCCACATTAAAAAAAAAATCTGTTTTTAGGGAATGATGATGTTGCAGAAATGGTTAACCACCTTATGTCTAAAGTCCTTGCTTAATGATCAATCATTTTACAACCATTCAAAGTTATGACTGCCACAGAATGGGTGCTATGATTTGTAAGGCACCCCTGGCCATCATAAATGACACTGCCCCTCCTTTGTGGTCATATGATAGCATGTTGCGCACCAGTCAACTTATGACTGGTTGTAATGTTCTGCGATCAGATGACCACAATTCACAATGTTTTAACACCCTTTCAAATGAATAGGTTCACTTAACAACCATGGCATTCACTTAATGACTGGAACAAAAAATTACTTCTGGTCACATGGGTGGCTTGACTTATGATCCAAATGACTTAAGATGGTATTTCTGGGCTCAATTATGGCCATATGTCAAGGACTACCTTTAATGCTAGAGTTCCAAACCATTAATGATTCCCTGAGCAAGACAATATTATTTTAAACTGAGGAAATAATCATAGTTTTTCTGTGTTACATCAGGTTATTTTTAATGAAGAACAGCTTTCTAAAACTGTATTTTATGATGTCAGACATTACTCATACAGTTTTCTGTGGTGCTAACACATGACTTATTTAGCTGTTTTGAGAAAATGCTTAAAAATGGAAAGCAATTCAATACACATCTTTATTTATTTGGCTATACAGTAGTTTGGCTGAAGTCCAATTTTTATAATCAGAACATCTTTCATTTTCTTTCAGTTAATGACAAATACTATACGAATGCGCGACATCAGTCTCAGAAGTACAGAACAAAGATCTTTTACTGTGTTCCTTGACAAGGATTCCAGGCGAGCCTATAAGAATGTTACTAGGTAGCCTTTTTTAAATGAGCAATAATTATTGTTTCTTCTCGGTCAGTTTCTGAAGTATGAGAATGTACAGCAAATCACCATAAAAACATTCTTATTTACTGTAAACTTTCAAAGTAATTAAAAATACTTTGGATATGTATGCTTAGCTGTTCTGATCAGACATTCTAGGCCCGTGATGGCGAACCTATAGCATGCGTGTCACAGGTGGCACAAGGAGCCATATCTGCGGGCACATGAGCCGTTGCCCTAGCTCAGCTCCTTTTCAGCTGGCCCTGCCCACGCCGCCCCTCCCCTCTCAGGGGTCTCCACGCGTCCTGTTTTGGATGCCAGGTAAGTACAGGGCTTGTGTGGAGGCTCTGACAGGGCGTTTTCAACCTCTGTGCGGGGAGGCCATTTTCACCCTCCCCAGGCTCCAAGAAAGCCTCTGGAGCCTGGGGAGGGCAAAAAACGGGCCTACTGGGCGCACTGTAAGTTGGGAAATAGCCTATTTCTGGCCTCCAGGGGGGGAGGGAAGGCAGTTTTCGCTTCCTCAGGCTCCAAGAAAACCTCTGGAACCTGGGAAGGGCGAAAAACAGGCCTACCAGGCCCACTGGAATTCAGGAAATGGACCATTTCCTGCCTCGGGGGGGGGGGCAGGGGAGGCCGTTTTCACCTCCCCAGGCTCCAAGAAAGCCTCTGGAGCCTGGGGAGGGTGAAAAAATGGGCCTACCGGAAGTCTGGAAACGGAGCGTTTCCAGCCTCCGGAGGCTTCAGGGAGGCTTGCTAGGCCCAAAATGGCGCACGGTGGGGTCGTGTGTGCATGCACAGAGGAGGGTGGGGGGTTGCACGTGCATGCGCAGGGGGGTGAGGCATGTGGGCGGGCATTGAATTATGGGTATGGGCACACGTGTGCGCACTATTGTGCGTGCACCTGCACTTTCAGCACCTGAGGGAAAAAAGGTTTGCCATCACTGTTCTAGACTGTTGATCATTACAAAAATTATGTCCATTGCAAGGACAGGTAGTTCTCACTTACCAACTGCCTTGTTTAACAAGCATTTGAAGTTACAACAGTTGAAAGAAATCCAGCTTTGCATCCAAGTCTCACACTTATGCCCATCACAGCATCCCATGGCCATGCAATTGGCACTTCGGCACTTCACCATTGGTGCACAATTGTGTCTGTTACAGTGTCTCAGTCACATGATTTGCCAGAATTATAGAGAATGTTGAAGTGAAATTGCAAGACATGGTCATGAGATGCCTCACTTAACAACCATGGTGATATGCTTAATGCTGAAGGCAGAAATGAAGTCATAAGTCTGGCATGGTCACATGGCATTTTGCTTAGTGACTGCAGCGCTTAGTGACGTAATTGTCTGTCCCAATTTTAATCAGAAGGTGAGGCCTACCTGCATTAATGGGTATAAGACATCTTAAGTCATCTTACATAACTACAGGTCAGTGTTGACAAGTACACCTACACCAAATTCACTAGAAAAAATAATTGAAAACAATTGTAGCTAACTTATTCTAGCTAAGCATTATCTAATTTTTTTCTCAACTTCATCATCAAATATTATTATAAATTATAAATTATTGTGTACTTCGAATACATGGATTGCTAATTAAACAACATTCCCCAATTTTTAAATGATATGTGCACTCACAAAGGGATTTTTGAAATTAGAACCATGCTTGTATCTTACATATTTAGTAATTGAAACTGTATTGGGTTTTGTTTTTGTTTTTTGCAGTATTCAAGTATTTCCCTGCCTAGAACCTAGCTACTGTTTGCAAAAATCAAGAACAAAACAGACCAACTTGCAAGAGGAAGAAGACGATATAGGACTGGCCAAATACTTACCTAAGTCTTTACTCTTACCCATCAATACTTTTGCAGGCATTATTCGATAAAGAAGCTGAGAATCCCAACCTTTCAAAATCTTTTGTTGAATTTCATTAGGAATTGTTTCAGTGAAAGAGAGGTGTCAAGATGAAAAGAAACAAGTATTGCCAAAAGAACAAGACAGGGTTTTAGCCTGAATATCCCATCCAATATAGGAATGTTTTATAGCTTTGTAATAGCATGTCAGGCGCAAGGAACCAGAACAACTCCACAAATAAGCCAAAGCAGTTTATTTATTGTTGATCACCTGTTTACAAGAATCTTGCCAGACTGACTGCATTTCCTTGAGAACCGGGGAATAAGGGCTTCACTAGTCTGGCCTTTGTCTCTTCCTGCCACAGACTGACATAGCACTATTGCATCTCTTTACTCCCCCCTGTCCTTTAACCAGTGTTCTACCACATTGCATGAGATAAAGGAAAATGAGCTCTGATGCAAAAGAAAATAAGGTATGAAATCTTTAAGCTACTATACTGTGTTTTCTTTGAATAGCAGTTCTTTTTTAGCAGATGAAGAAAGAATGGCTTTCATTTTATCATGTGTATGGTAAATGTAATTAAATTCCTTACAGAGATTTAACTGAGTTAAATCTCAGTTGAGGTAGGTGTCGTAAATTTATCACAGATAAGATAAACTTATTCTATAAAAACCATAGATAGATAAGCTTTGTCCCAAAATTAAGAATTTAGATTCAATACAATATTTGCAATGTTTCTTTCATTAGAAAATAAGTGGAAGAATGTTAAACAAATGTGTGCATTTGTTAAACAAATGTGTGCATTCTTATCATATAAGAGCCATGGTGGCGGAGTGGTCAGAATGCAATACTGCAGGCTATTTCTGTTGCCTGCCAGGTGGCTGCAGTTTGGCAGTTCGATTCTCACCGCTCAAGGTAGACTCAGCCTTCCATCCTTCCGAGGTTGGTAAAATGAGGACCCAGATTGTTGGGGAAAATATGCTGACACTGTAAACCATTTAGAGAAGGCTGTAAAGCACTGTGAAGCAGTATATAAGTCTAAGTGCTATTGCTATAATGGTAGTCAAGGAAACAAGAAAAATTGTAAATTGTATAGTGACTGCCTTTATTTCTGATTGGCACCTTTTGCTTATCTATGAGCTATTCAGTACATTCAATACATTTCCAGGAAGCTAATGTTTATTTCGGCAAGTCTTGCATAGTATCTCTGCTTGCTTTGGCCATCTTGACCCCAATTGTCTCATATTGCAAGAAACCTAAATGTGTTACTTGAATGCTCTGTTGTTATTCATCCCTCTTTCTCACTTCATCCTAAAATAATATCTTTGTGACCTTCTATCCAATTGTTTTCCCACTTTATTGACATCTTTTTTCTGGCCCTGGAGTTACCTTAAACCTGTTTCTCACTTAATCATGGGTCCCCTGGTTGTTGTTTTTTAAACATTTTATTCGGTTATAAGATAAGATACAAAATACAAAAGTAAATAGGAAGGCGGGGCGGGGGGAGAAGGGGGAAGAGAAGCTAGGGCTGGGAAAAAGAAAAACAAGCATTGACTTCAGCCTCCCTTTGTTGCAGTAAAATAAAACGTTAACATCAAAACACAACTTTTTGCTTTTTCATAGTAATACAAATTAGCCATTTCTGTAAACATCTATGGGTCCCTTGGTTTTCATCTTGTTTTATGTCCTGTGATTTTCTGAGTCTCATTTCAGTTTCTTTTCCTTTGTTCTCGTCACATTCTGTGTCTAAATGTGATAAATATGTCCTTGAATCATCCCAAGTGAGTCCATGCAATTTTCTTGGTAATGTTACAAAATAGTTTGTCACTGCCTTCTTCAGGGCCTTACCTGCACCACCACACCTTTGCAGTTTTAATCTACTCTGGAATTCCCTGACAACCCCCTCATCTAAAAACTGACAGGGCCAACTGCTTAGCTCTTAATATCAGCCAGGCTCGGCTGGCTGCTGCCATCTACTTGTGATTTTATTGAGGTCTGTTACTATACAAATCTATTACACAAATTGTGATAATATATAAAACACTATTTTGCTGCCCTAGTGATTTTGGGTGCTGTAATTTTATGAAATGCAGATAACCCTACCTGAATCAGGTTGCTGAAGAGTGCTTTGATTGTGAAGTCAACAGTAGGTGACTATCCTGAGGCACAGGTATTATAAATGAAGGGATCATTCCTATATATGATGAACAGGAGGACTAAATGATCAAAGTTGAATAGAGTTCAGGAGTATGTTCCTGCCTCCTACAGTATTCTTAAAATATTCTGTTTTTCATTTTGCTTACTGGCCCTCATTGGGTCTTCAGGATAGTTTAGGAAATAATACTACTGGTAAAATGAAATGACAAAAAATTATAATAAAGTATGAATATCACAAAGGGAGAAAATAATCATTTTAGGGATATTACAAAAGTTTATCTGCTTTCTGCAGCCACTGCTATTACATTTTTTATGTTGCTTACTATTCAAACCTGATTTAGCTATTAATGCACACTCTCCCTATATATAATATGAATAGTTTACATGAGAGGAACAGACTGCAAGTTTTATGCAGCATGATGTTCAGAGTTCTCAAAAGCAGCCTTTATACAGTTTTGTCTTTCTGTTTTTGTAAGTAATGGATAGGTATGGCCATAGGGTTCCTTTCAATTGCTTAATCATTGTAAATAGACAAAACCTGGAATATGGAAGGGATCACATTCAACAGAGCAATAATACAAATATATTAGGTTGAGCAATGGCTGATGGAAAAGCAGATAATATAAAACTAATATTTTCATAGCTGCTGTGAAGATCTATCTATTTTTAAGAAATAAAAGATAGAATTTTAAGCATGTATTAAAGGGTTTCCTAAATATGGTGCTGCAGCTAAATGTTTACAGCCCAAAAGTTATTAGATTGTTTTGGCTATTGAGTTATTTCTGTATTAAATGGAGATGTACATTGTGTAAATACATTATAAATTATTTGTATAGTTATAACATCTGCTGGAAAGTGGCAGTCTTTAATTTCATTAAATTACTTTTTAAAAAGTTTAACACTATGTTTTTCCTGTCATTTTTCTTCCTTAGACAATTGGAGGTTATAAATTATTGCAGTATATAAATATAACTACCAGTGAATTGAGATATAAGGATCCAATATTGCTCCCAGAGTTATTAGAATTTGGGTAGAGGGAGGGAGGGAGGGAGGGGAGGAACGAAAGGAAGGAAGGAAGGAAGGAAGGAAGGAAGGAAGGAAGGAAGGAAGGAAGGAAGGAAGGAAGGAAGGATCACATGGATAAATCCTTCATTTAAGACAAAGTAGCAGAATCTTTAGCAAAGCTAATATTTTTTCACTTTATTATGCAATGAAATATAGTTTTGTGGGATTTTTTTCTCTAAAGAATTCAGTAGTTACATCAATTCAAAATAAAAGTAAACTGCACTAGTGAATAAACATATCGCTTCCATCAAAAATATTTGGGACCTTGGAATGTTGAGAAGATTGCAAGACATTTTCATTCTAAAATAGGAACTGTGATTTTAGAAGATGAGCTTTTAAATCCGTTTTAAAATGGTAATAATCCCTATCAATTATGTTTAATTTCAACTTATATATTCACAGCTGGCTGGTTGTGACAGTATAATGAGCCTAATATTGTACTTGATCGGCTCCATTTGAGCTGGGATATGATATCCTTGGGAAACTTGGCAAGGGCTCGTCATTATGGTGCCATGTTTTGTTACTGTTGTTCTAAGATTTTGAAACTTTAAGTTTCACAGTAAAACCTTTGTCCTACTTTGTTGCTTGTTATCCATGCTCATTTACATTTTTACTGATTTGAATGACAGTTACATGTAAGTTAACTGCTCTGAGAAAAATTGATCATGGTTGCAGGATAGCCGAATTGCAAGATACATGTTTAGTAAAACAAATCCTAAGAAGGGGCAATACAGTTGCACAATAACGGTAAACGTTAGAAGAAGCACTGTGACACAGGATAAAAGTACGTGAATATTAGGAGGTGACAACATATTACAGGATAAGAGAAAATTAGTAGAGGTAATGTATTACAGGATAAAGCAAGTTTTACCTTATAGGAAATGGAAGCAAAAACAAACTGAAGATTTTCGCTTCTCTGCCCATTTCAAGTCTTTTTCTTTCCAATTTGTATTCCCAACGAGCAAGAATTTGAAGTTCTTTAAGAGCAAGGGGCGCTTACTTTTGGAGTGAGCCCCGTAAAGTATACTATATTTCAAACCCCGAGAACAACTACGCGACCATCGGAGGGAAGACTTTGCAAAGGGGAAGAAAAAGCGACAGGCGGAAGGAAGGCAAAGCTGGGTCTCCGGCGCCTGAGCGGCGAAGGAAGGCGGACAACGTGGCCGGGCGCCTTTTCGTACTTCCCAGAATGATTCCTCGTATCCTAGCAACGGTTGGTCCCTCCCCCTTCCGACGGAGGATGAGGGAGCGTTCCAGCAGCTGGGCAGAGGCAGCAGGTGTACACCGCTCTGACAGGTACACCGGCGCATGCGCAGTCAGCGCGCTCGGGACCGCAGGCCGCCTAGAGTAGCGGAAGAAGCCGGTTGCCCGTTGCTTTCAGGTAGGGGAGGCCCCGTGTCGGCTGCTGGAGTTCAGCGCCGGAGAGGCAGGCGGGCGGCCGCAGAAGTTGCCATGGCAACGTCTCCAAGGTGCGGGGCCGAGGAGGGGAGTCCCCCGCGAGCAAGGAGATGAGGCGCGTGGGGGTGGGGGAAGGGGCCGCCGCCCGCGTGGGACGAGGCTGCCGTTGCGGCTGGTGCTGAACCGGGTGGAGGGCCAGGTTTCCAAGGGGGCTCCTTCACTCACGGGCATAATAAAGGGTCTCATGGGCCACGAATGACCAGAACTGGCATCAACAATCAGTATTCCACGGCCTCGATTTGCACAAACAAGGAGAAAATGGGCGGACTGTTATCCAGATATGCAATCGTCCTATCGCAGAGATTCTCAAAGCCATTTAATTTTTTTCCTAAAAAGACGAAAGGCAATATTATTGCCATTAGAATAGAATAGATGGTGGTTAATATACAGCAAGGACTGTTTTAAATGGTTGGATAGACAAGGCTTTCTAACAGAATGCCCCTCCCTTTAAACATATCATTCTCTCAAATATCCTTTTTGTGTGTATATATATATATCTATATGTGTTTGTGTGTGTATGTGTACCAAAAGTGACACACAGTTAAATTTTACGTAGGCGCTAATGCTGCCTTCATAAAATGAGTGGAGGCTATGGTTTTTATGTATAATGGCCCAACTGGAGCTACAATAGGAATCTGGTTATTTGCCGGATTATCAATCTCATTCTGTAAATTCCAGCAGGGTTGACATCCTCCAGATCCTGGACATCCTTAGATGATGTCATCTGATGTGACCCAAGAGGCCTGTTTTCTCTGCCACAACATTTGACTTATGGAGCACCCCCCTGCCCCCGCCCCCCAATTTGGTTGGCTACAACATGGTCACCTTTAACAAGATCTACTTGCTCCTCAACAGGCTGATCGAGGATGGTATATGAGTGTGTGGCAATTATTATGAGTTGTTATCTATCTGGCACTCATACAGCATGTTTTATTATCTTTATTATGTTACCTTTTTCCTTTATGTTTTTAATCTTTGTTAGTTGCTCAAAGTCACCTGGCAAGTGGGCAGATACAAACACTGAAAAATAAGTCCATCCATCTATTTACCTGCACTGCAAAAATCCAGAGAATACTGGAAGGTGGCTACAGAAAACATTAGCACTGGTCTTCTGGACTTTTGCAGCCCAGCTATGCTACTTTTAGTTCTTATATTTATAAGATCATAGATCCCAACTTAATCCAACATTTTCTTAAAGCAATAGCCATCTGGCAGTCCATAAATAAAAGATAAAGACAGACCCACTCCCCCAATTGTTATCCCATAACTGATATTTGGAGACTTACTATAATTAATCTATAGACAACATTTTATCTTCAAGACAGATAACTTGTAAAACCAGTTCTCAGTGATTTTTTTTCAATCTTTAAATCAATCCAAATTAGTGACTGTTGTCATATTCTGCACTAATGAATTACAGACATTATGATGCACAGCAGAAGTGCTTTCTTCTACTTGTTTTAAGTCTCCTTCTAATCAGGTTTATTGGATGACCCTAGTCCTGGTGTTCTTAGAGGAGGAGATAAAATCATATCCTTGTTCAGCTTTCTGAGCATTATTTTCTACATAGTTACATTGAATGATGTTTGATTGGTTATTCAAACAATTTGAAGACAGTCTTCTGGAACTCTTCTCAATTGTGTTTGGTTCAATTTTCTCTGCAAATATGGCCAGCTTACTGTTTCCTCCTAATTATCAGTATTTGTAAAACACTCATTTCAGTTGCACTTTTTACTTCCTTATCCATGTACTGCAGTCCTATTTTTACTTTCTGTTTATAACTAGTTTATAAGCAGGCAGTTTCTTTCATCCCATGATTATTGCTACGTTTATTCAAAAGCTTTTGATGAGACACTCACAAAATACAAACAATTTCTAATAAGTACATCACATGAAACCACAAAGAAAAGTTGTGCCTATGAACACTTAACTGTTCCACAATTCTCCTATAGATGTAAATATAGTTTCTGAAAACAAAGTTGTTCATATCGTCTGCTCTTTCCTACTTGAAGAGTGGTTTTGTTACACCTACCTTACAGCTCTCACTATGTTTTCTTTACAGTTACCAATACAGTTCAATATTTGTTACTAGACAAAGACTTTTATTGTTTTCCTCTACAAAGGAAACATGTCATTTTTCTGTTCTGATTCATGTGATCCTGTGTGAATAGAAGCTTCTGATATTACCTGTTCTCTAGTTGGGGTAAAATTATATAAGATTTCCAGCACACTACAATGCAATTGACTCTGCACTCACCCAGCTCCATTTAGTTCTGAAACAGGAATTACATCTTCATGTTTGTTGTTTGAAGGAGTCTTTTAAGAAGGACTTCTGGCATTTTTATTATACCATTTTCTAAGGCAGGGCATTAAAGAAGTATTGTAGCAGATGCAGGATAATGCTGTAAATAGTAATGCTTTTTAAAAACAGATTTTTACAAAACTCTGAATTTATTTCCATTCACATAGGATCGACAGGCATCTTACACTTTTTATCATGGATTTACAGTATAAGGTCTCAACCAGCATCTTCTCTTTCTATCCCACTAGACATTGTAAAATGCTTCATTCTTAAGGTTACCATCAGGCCCATCTGTCCCCAGCAAGGAAGCTTATTTTTTAAAGGTAGTGGAAAAACTTTCAGATTTGGACCTTTGAATTTGAAATGCAACAACAGGATCATGGTAATGTTTTGAACTGGAAAAAATACTTTTGAGCTTAAAACATTTTGTTTTGTACTAAAATTTTCCAAAATGATGGATACAGCCAATTTGGAAAGAAAACAGCTGTTTCACACTCAAGTCAACTGATTTGTGTATTACAAATTCACTTTCAAAACATTTTGTAAAACTAATTTTAATATTACAGTTCAATTTCCTATTTCTTATTCAATTTACTGATTGATATGGGAATTTGGTGTTTTTTATATTTGATTTGATTCTAGAATCCTAATTCTGTGCTAATGCTAAAGCTAATGCTAATCAAAAATTTGAAATATGTGTTTAATAATGTTATCTCTAATTATTGCTTTTTTTTGGTTTCCATAATAATACAAGCTAGTCCGAAGTGTTTTATTTTTGTCTCTTTCTCCAGTCCTAGCTTCTAAAATATATCTCATTTAATGAAATAGATAAATTCAGCAACTCAATTCTTAAAATTATTTTAAAATGTGTCTATCAAAAAAGTGCTATTGTATATGTTCAGTACTCCATGATATGAATTTATATACTATATATAGCAAATACAATGTTTCTCATTAATTGCACTGGATCCCAATACTTGGATTAACAACACTTTCCAGCATAAATGGTAACATTTTTCCTCTAAAAATAATTTTTGCTTTATGGCACGTATATTAAAATTTTTGGAATATTGTTTAGTTTTCACATTCTGAATCATTTCTTTAACAATACTATTGGTGACTGATGCCACTCTTTCATACATCATAATATTATATTTTAAATTTACACACACACACACACACACACACACACACACTGTTTTGGGTCTTTAGCTTTTTTTGTTATTTTTTAAAAAGGATTTTGTTGCAATCCTATATGTAAGAATCCCTTTGAATTTTAAAAATTAGTTAACATTTTATATTATACAATCTTATCTAAGAAAGAAATGTCATTTATTTTACTTTGAAAAAGGCTTAGGATAAATGTAATCCTAATCAAATTGAGACATGTAATTCTGCTTATCTACAGTACTCTGAAATAAGCATCAATAAATTAAATGGGTCTGGTAAGTGTATAGAGGATTATAGTTTAAGATAATCAACACATTAAAAAAGGTATTTTCTTGATTCAGAACTTAGGTTTTTCTTTTTATGAATTCCTTAAAAATATATCTTATAAACAATGTTTTTCTGTGACAAACCAGTTATGACGTTATTGCTATTGTATTTATAGTTGCACTACAGGTTTGATTAGTGATTTGCAGTCATACCAAATTAAGAAACTTCAACATATTTGTCCTATTTTATGGTGTACTGATAAATCTGTCTTTGCTTTGTTAATTTGCAGGGCAAAGGTGGGAACACAGACTGCTTCTGAAGCCATGAGTACAAATAACCAATGGGATGTAAACAAAGCACTTACTCTTGCTAGTCTTTTCCATTTTCTTTATGGTGCAGGAAATGCTTGTGCAATCCCATTTTTAACTCTCTACTTTCGGCAGCTTGGTCTGACTGCACCTCTAGTAGGGATTATAATAGGACTCAAACATTTAATCACTTCTCTTTGGGCCCCACTATGTTCTTACCTATCAAAAACCCACAATAAAAGGAAAGTATTTATTAGTGGATCATTATTTTGCTCAGTTGGAACAGGTTTGCTACTTACACTCATCCCACCAGTGAGCAAAGATATTATCTATAAATATTGCAACATGAGCCAGCATCCCACTAAACAACTGACTACAACGCAAGTGCCTGATATAAATATGAACCATCTGAGTGCAATGAATGGCAACTCTTTTGCCAATAACAAAATATGGTCTACAGAATCACTTGGAATGATCTCAAAGGAACAAGAGTCTACGAGAAAACCAACAGTAATGTATACCTCATTCAAAATAAAAAGTATAAAAACTCCTATAATAAAACAAGGTGGTAATGAGGTTAATATAAAGCCACAGCAATTCATAGATGCTTCTTCTAGTGTGACATCTGGTATTTCTGGGGAAGCTATTGTTCCAGCAGAACAAAATTTGGAAAAAACTACTGTGAATGTGCCTTTGAAAGGAACTGCTGGCATCGTGACTAACAAAGAAAATGCTGACAAAAATGACTCAAGAAGAAATAGTAACTTCATACTTTACACAATCCAATTACCTGTTACAGAGGTACCTTATGTACTGAAAAATGTATCAGGGCGCAGGGAAAGAGCACAAGATGTAAGTTCTCCGTTACTTCAGGGTACTGACTTCTTGGACAGTGAGCATCAGGTCTTCCTTATGGTGTTAGGTGCTGTTGTCCTTTGGGAGCTGCTGGCCGGACCTCTTGAGTGGATGGTTGATGACAGTCTCTATGAATACCTTGACTTTGTGGATGCTGCTGACAGATATGAGAACCTTTGGATCTGGAGCTACTTAGGAGCATCTCTGGGTGTCTGTAGCACCGCAATATTTGTGGACCAACTGAGTTGCTTTTTGAGTAATAATATTCCACGTTTTGCAGTGCATTTCTATGGTTATGCCTTGTTCATGACACTGACGTTACTTGTCAGTACCTTCTTTCCCATCTATGTGTCAGAAAAAAATGAACATGTCAATAAAACAGCTAAAGCTTTGAACCTCATTGGGAGTGACGGTCGAACCATCCTGTGTGCTGTCACTATCTTCCTCACAGGAGCTATTGGGTCAACTGTGCAGAACTTTCTTTTCTGGCAAATGCAAGACCAAGGCAGTCATGAATTATTCATGGGCCTCTCGGTGACTATTGGACTAATTGCTGAAATCCTGCTCTATATCTTCAAAAGCAAACTGCTGAAGGCTCTCTCTGTTGGTGGCACAGTTGCCTTGGGATTAAGTTGCCTGGCAGCACAACTGCTCTACTATTCTTTCCTCTGGAATTCCTGGGCTGTGCTGCCAATCCAGGTTTTCTGCGCCTTCAGCAATGGTGCGTTATGGTGGGCAGTGAACATGCTAACAGACGACGTTGCCACTCCTGGCACAGAAAGGTCTCTGCACTTGGTCCTTCAAGGCCTCTCTCATGGATGTGGAGCCAGTTTAGGCAGTTTTGCAGGAGGGTTTGTTGTGAACAGCTTTGGTTTAGCAATGCTCTACAGAGCATGTTCCATTACCTTAATATTATGGCTAGTTTTATTCTTGGTTGTTCAATCTAAATTACCACGACAGAAAAGGATTAATTATTCCCGTCTCTTAGCTGCGGATTCTAGTGATATGAGTGATTCTGATTATGATGAAGAGAAAGAAAGAGACTGGCTTGTAAAAGCTATGAAAGATGACAACTTTACTAGGAATTGGTAACTGATACTGGATTTCAACGGTCACTTCATCAGAAAGTAGACTACGGCGAATTAGGGTGAAGTTTTTAGAAATAATCCATACCGGATCTGTATTGGCAGTTGATTTTATGATGTACATATTTGCTCAGGAAATTATTATAAAGATTTTATAAAGATTTTATTTTCTTAAGATTAATTTATTGTACATATTTATAGCAAGTCTGCTTTTCTAAAATGTTTATTTTCAAAACTAAGGAAAGGGGGCTTTCAACAGAAATACTGTGGAGTTTGTTTTTCCCTTTATGAGAATTGGCTTTATGGAAATTGATCATTTTTTAAAATACAGAATTCTTGCATAAAATGCTTCCCTTCTTTTAATCACAATTAGTTACTTTAAAAATGTTCTGCTTGCTTTTCTTTTTTAAAATTAAAGATATTTCAGTATTTTGAAAACTGAGCTGAAATTCTAGGACACCATCTAATTCTTTAGAATGGTATTTTTCTTAAATCTACAAGATACATTTGATCTAATGTTTAAAATGTTCATATATTATAATATCTTTTCCCAATAGTTGAAATATGACCATAAAACCCTCACAAACTATACATTAGGGGTTATAAATTAGAATGGTCACTTATTTCCTGTCCAAATGGAAAACAAACATGCATAGCATTTGCACATGGAAATTTATATTTATACATTGTAAATATAGAGATAAATGGAAATATATATATCACCATAATGAAGGAGCCTGTATAATGAAGGAGTATTAGGTGCTGATGATTTTAGCTGCTACTTTCCCTTTTTGTTGTCTTTTAAACCAGATTTGGCCTTCAAATAGGAGATTCTTCTCTATAAAATGTGTTCACACAAGCAGTTTACACATGGGTTTAACATTCTATATTGCATTAATAATATTTAGAAAATTCTCATGTTTCTATATATCTTCAGGATATATGGAAAAGATTATTTTGATTTTTTCCTGTATGTTTTATTCTTCCAGTATAAAATAGAATCTTTTGTAAGTATCAGAGAGTTTGTCTAAATACACAGCTGTAATACAATCTGGTTTAAGAGATTTCTTTGTTCAGAACAAAAAGGCAATAATAACAAACTGCTTTGAGGGCTATGGCCTTACAGTAAAGTACCTGATACTCGACAAGCTGTTTATTTAGAAAATGCACTATTAGCAATAATTGCCTTTGTATGTACAATTACTGAAGAATGGACTAAAGTTTCAGAAGAATGTTGTAAGAATCATGGAAAAAATAATATTTCCAATTTCATGGTAGAAATAAATTCACATGCTATCTCCACAAGTTTGCTCCATTTGGCAGTTAATATTAAGCATCAGCTCACTCTATTTTTCCAATAAAAACTGTTGCTGCTAACAAGTTGCCTTTTCATTGGAAGAAGTTTGGCTTCTCATTACAACAAAATAAAAATCCATCTGTAGATCTTGGGAATGGAAATTGTTTGGGTGATTTTACAGATACTTTTATTGCTTTATTTAAAATCTTACCTATTTAGCAAAAGAATGTAACTTGGAAGATTAGAAATAAATAAAGGAGTTCCATTTTTGGAATCTGCAATGTCATAACTTACAGAGTTTAAACTGATCAATCTACAGATTGGTAGGTACTATAGGTCTACCTCCTTTTGCCATTCTCAGCTATTTTTTTAAAATAAGGTGCTTATCATAATTTCAAATTGAAAATTCACCCAATTCCATATGTATGTATTATCAAGCAATTTTAAATAAATGTTTGTGTGCATGGTATGCATAAATATTGCATATTTATACTTAGCTAAGAAAATCGTATTAGTGCATTCTGTATTTATAAAATATACTACTATACTTCTAAGACTCATCACTGGAGGTCTGAGTGCTGGTGCTGGGGAAAGAGATAGAGGTAATCCTCAATTTATGACCACAATTGAGCCCAAAAATTATGTTGCTAAACAAAGGAGATGTTAAGTAAGTTTTGCCCCATTTCTTGCCATAGTTGTTAAATTAATCACTGTAGTTGTTAAGTTAGTAACACAGTAGTTAAGTGAATTTGGCTTCCCCACTGTTCCTTTTTATAATTTGGCACCATATTTTTTGAACATTACACACCCTTCACAGGCAAACTTATTCACAATGCAAACTTTGAAGGACTGTTTCACCTTGATGATGTTTCATTTAAAGCATCCCTTTGAATATGCTTGTCAAACAACGTTACACTGTATTGTATTTCTTTTATGTTGCTTTAGGGTCTTTAGCATTTCTAGCAGGTAAAATATCTGTGCCTATTTCCATTCCAGATTAGACACTTTTATGCATGCAGAGAGTCACTCTTGGCTATAGAACTGCTGTGTGAAGTCTTGAGATGACACAAAGTACCTTTTCATGCAGAATTGCATCATCTCCTCAACAAACAGTATCACCTCCATAGTGTGAAGCATCTTATTTGGGCAAAGTAATGATGAGAGAGAGAGAGAGATTTTCTTTGTATAAAAAGCCATCATTCCATGTATATAAATAAATCCATTTATTTATAAATAATAAAATGGATCCATTTTTCTGCTTAAAAGGGGAGTATTACTTTACACTGATCCCAACTTTATAAATATATTCTGTTTTGTATGTCAATGTCAGGCAGTATGCTAGAAATTGGTTTTATTTTAGGCAAAGGCAGCTATGTAATCTGGGGCCAGTCTCTCTCTCCTCTCTCTCAGCCCCAGGAAGGAAACAATGGCAAAGTTACTTCCAAAATCTTGCCAAGAAAACTAGAGACTTCTTGAGACAATCCAACACTGAATCAAAGACACACACATACAAAACCCCACCTGCCTATTATCTGAATATAATGCAGATGTTAATTTTGAATTGCAGAGAAACTTTGATTCTTAAATTAGGCTACCATAATTAATGTAATAAACTCATTGCATCTTCTTCTGATATGCTCTTTGTAACCTTAATGCCTTCTGAAATCTCTGAGCATTGACTTGTTTCATTATTAATGAGCCTAAATATGCCTTTCACATACATTCACTGGGTAGGGTGTCTCAAAGCAATCAAATACTCTATGGTTTGCTTAAAATTTCAGTTTGCCAGGTACCAGATGTCTCAATTTATTCAAGAGAAATATATTAACAAAAAAAAAAAAAAAAGACTAGGAGAGATGCTGCTCATAATTTGTTCTGAAAATACATGAATCAATCTGATTTTTTCCCAAACTATTTGCTATACTCAGCAAAATAAATTTGCTGAGAAGAAACTCAGTGGTGAATTTGTGATGAAGTATATGCCTGACATATTTTTAACTGCATATTTTTCCCAATTCTGCTTTTAGCAAATAGGTCACATTCTCTTTTTCTATGGAGCAGGTGACAGCAACAATATTATTGGTTCTCCTTCTCTAACTCCTCTTCCAATATTGTCCATAATTATATTGAATTTTAAAATATCAAAATGGGGTTTTTCAATGAATGACTGTTGATCAAAGCTATAATCAGGATGCAACTATGAAATGGCAGATCCAATGTCCCTTTAAGCTGTTTTTCTGCTAGTTCTACTTATTACTTCTTAACTGATGGTAAGAGAGTGGTTAATCAGGCAATTCCCACCTGGTTCTCAGGCTAAAAATCTGAAATTTCATGAAAAAAATATCCTTTCTATTCACACGAGCTTCTGTTTCTGAAAAAAGTGATTCATATTTGCCTGTTTTTTTTATTTAAATACTCATTATTGTCTTTCCTATTCATAATGGGGTTATAAATATAAGATGACACAATGTTGAAAATTCTAGGCAATGCTTCATTCAATGAATGAGTCATTTTCATAGCTTGGAACATTTCTTCATTTTACATATATAGTACAGATGCAATGGCATCTTAATTGCAATTTATTTACGTAATTACAACAATCCCTTAATTAAGAAACTTATGCAGAGCATGATTTCCAGAATTCTTTCCAGCCCTTTGTGATTAAGAGGGATCAGGGAGGAATATTTATACTTGGAGGAGTTAATGGTATTCTGAGCTTTAGTCTTACTGCCACTCCCATAGGGAAGTATTGGAAAAAAATTAGCTGGAATGTTTTTCTCCATAGTTTCCAGTTGGATATGATTTTTAATTTGCTGGCTTCTCCCTCCAAAGCGTATATGTTCAGTTTTTGAAGAATTATTCTAATTTTGGACAGATCAAATTCTGAGTCCCTTACCCTGTCAATAGTACCAACTCCCAGTTTCGATAGCTGGTTGTTGTTTTTTAGCAAAACATCTTTGGTATAATCTTTTGTTTTGGAGGTAGGTTTATTTGTTCGTTTGTTTAATTCAAAAAGCTTTATTGAGGTCTTTGACCAGTCTTGACAGTAAAAGAGTACAGTAGAAAGAGTGATAGCTTAATACAGCAGCTAGTTATTAAAATAATGATAGGGCAATAAAATAGTGTATTTAATTAAAAAATTTGCACAGTAGTGTAACTTGGTGAAAATATTTGGCCACCTGATATATGAGTGTAGGGTCCCTTTAGCGTCCCTTAAAAAATAATAAACATAAAATTTATCTGCATGGCTCTCATATTTGGGAATGATTGGGACAATCAGAGGACATCTTGGCGCATCATAGAAAGGGTACCAGATGAGAACTATTCTCAAGTTTTCTTTACTCACATTATATACTACAGGATAGGCTATAGAAAGCCATGCCTCTTTGTGAATCTGCATAAAAACCCACACATACATTGTCTATGGAGATTCTCAGTCATCCAGATCATGGTTGTCCCAAAGATGCTTTTTCAAGAACTGAAGAAGCTTCTTGGGTGAGAAGCGAAACGTCTTCAAAGAAAAACAGAAAGTCCAGTTGCCTCCTGAGAAAAAGTACCTTTGGGCCAAACATACATTTTGCTCTAATAGTTGATAAGTAAAAGTTAAGAAACATACAGTCTTAAAAACCAGGAGAGAACTTTGGGGAGAAGAAGGAAAATGTTGATAGAGAAAGTGTAATAGCTGGCAAGCTAAGATGACTCTAGTTAGTATTGGTAGTTGAAGAGATGTTACTGGTTTTAATTAATAGCAGTATTGGCTGGTAACCTGAGATCAACAAAAAAGAGATATACTCCTGAAAAGGTGCAGGTTTGAGGAGAGGCTGAGTTAGGCAACTTTCTCAAAAGTGGAGCATGAAACAACCCATAGAAGAATGCTGAAGATAGGGGTCTAATATGGGACAGATTCTGTCCAGCACAGAGGACTCTGGGGAAGCCAAAAGACCAGAAGAGGAGTGACCAAGTTCTGTTTTCCTTCTGTTAGGCAAGAACAGGCTCCCAGAGGGAAAAAGCACCCAGTAAGTTATTCAGACAGGAATAGTCTGTTTAGAAATAGACAAGTATGTATTCAGGTAACTACATTAGAAAACCTTTAAGCTACACAATTTCCAATAGAGGAAAAATAATATTTTACAGTACATTTTAAATCTAAAGCCATGGCTTCATTCCAGATCAAAATATGGGAATATCCAGGACTGGCTCACCCAGTAAACAATTTTGCTAAAGAAAATTGCTCAGATTGAAAGTATTTGTTTTAATAAAACAATGCAAAAGACCTCTTGTTTTAATCAAGAGGTCTTTTGCATTGTTTTTCACCAAAATGGATAAAAACTATGAAACCAGTATTATCACATTCAGCAGTCAACTTTAAATTCCTTGTTCACCTAAAATTATTATTATTATTTTACCACACACTTTCTCTAAATCAACACACATACAGCAGACTTTCTCATACATTTCTCCATTACATGCTGAAAATCAAAATTCTGTTCTACACACTCTCTACTCGGGGCAACGTTATACTGCACACAGGGTAGCTAAATAAGTATCTGGGCTCAGGAAATGTCAGTTAAGGAAATGTTAAGGAGTTGGCACCAGGATGTGACTATGACTATCTTAGAGGACAAATCTCAATTCACAAATGACCAGAAATGATAGGCTTGAACATTGAACCAAAGTACTCTCAAAAACATAAACATCCATGGTAGATCAGATCGTGCCATCATTCAACCCCAATGCTGTCTAGTGGAATTCCCTACTGGAAAATCCATTAGGAGAACATGAGCTCAGTCACTTTCTCCTGCTTCCTTCCCAATCAGGTATCTTAGGAACTGATGTTTGGAGGCATGTTTCCTTGGATACCAGGATAATAGATAGGAATAATCTCAATATTTGTTCATATCTCTTTTTAATGTCTTCTAATCTGATGGCCACTGCTAGAGAATTGGGTAATTAATTCCTCAGTTTAATCATGCCCATGGAAACTGGATTATCTTGATACTCAGGCTGACTAAAAGCTCTCCAGTCCACAGTAGCATTGGCCAAAAGGCTTATACCTATCATTTTTTTATGTGAATTTAGCATA